TTCCTCATCATGTTTGTCTTCAAGAGTTTCACGTCAGCAGTTGGTTTTGACACCATTTATTGAAAGCAATTTTTTGATTTGAATCTTCACCTGCTAATAATATAGACCGGATTCGAGTTTTCAAGGAATATTAATATTCCAAGATCGGCCAGAAAGCTTTGCATTAAATTGGAAGAAACTCTTTTCCTCTTGCTCAAATTAAATCTGATCCGAGCCGTTCTCATTGCCACTCCTCATGTTGTTAGAATTTTAACCAAACGGCTGTAAATCTTGCATCTTTACACTTGCTTTTAATCTCTTGACTTAACCCTTGCTTCCGGGAACAGTATGTGCAAAATTACTTTATAACCTCTTCCTTTTCAGAGATCTTCAAGCACTAAAATCCTCAAACGTTTCCTTTGAGGAGTAGTCTTAGGCGGAGCTCTATCTGAATCGTATATTATGCAAGACCAAAGGATAGGCTCCCCGTTCAAAATAGTTTTCGCGCTAAAATAGATTTCTTTACAAACGTTCTGATCTCCTTCCTCCAGTCTTCCTTCTAGAAGTGACCTAGTCAAAAAAATGATTTTTTTTTCAATATATTTTTTGGAGTATGTTTAAGGTGAACTGCTCAAAACGTGCATAAGACACTTAACGCAGAAGACCATCACAGGGTGGAAATCAAATTCATATTTCACACGCATGCCTATAATTAATTTTTCTATAGCAGTTTCTGATATGTTGTTTACAAGGCCTTTCTCTCGAATATAATGGGAGCTGCATGGCAAGTATTAGTAAATCCAAGTTGCCATTCATGCCATATCATAGGGGATTTATGCTTGTAAATAGTGCTAGCTATCAAAAGTTACGCTATCAATTATACGCCTAGAGGTGCACTTGAATCCATAGAAACCGATCGGCCGACATTCCTGAATAACTGCACATCACAGATAAGGAGTGATTTCTGCTAGAATTTAAACCAATTTTTAATATTGCCGCGTTTATTTCTTCAAATAGCTCGATCGGTGAAATTTGCATATTCAGGGTTTTTCAGCGATGCGGCACGAGAGCGCCAGTGGCATGGCACAGTTTCAAAAATTTAAGCCAGTTTGGCCAAATTTTTTTAAAATCTGCATTTGTTCTGTGCTTATTGAGTCAACACAGAGTTCTAAAGGAAACAGCCTGTGAGCAAAATTAGATGGTGAAACTGATTCCACTACCTAGATTCAATAGAATAAATAGGTTGCATAAGTGACATAAATTACGTATACTTCATTCGTCATTATACATAAGGTGGATACCTGTCCATCCTGACAAATGGCTGAGTTCATATTGTTGTGACCGCGCACCTCGCTAGCGCAATCGTTTTG